GTGAGGGAGGGCAAAGAGTTAATGTTTAATGAGGAACGACGTCAAATGTGACAAAAAACATTGTCACTGGCTGATGGTCAAAAAAGTGAATGACTGAACACACTTGAGGGTTTCTGTCCTGCTCGTCTCTTTGAACCACTCTAAAGTTGCTCCTGAGGTCACCAAATGGGTGCTTGCATTGTAAATGTGGCATCACAGAAGAAAAATGAAAGGTCTAGAGCCTCTGTTAACCTGTACATGGTAAGTGCAGTGTAGGTCACCATCACAGATGCCCTTTTTCTGTGGTGAGCCTCACCTGAACCTTCTCAGCCAGCCCAGCTGAGCAGGGTGAAAGCGAGACGGGGGTTTGTGTGACTGGGACCAGGGGCAGCCGTTGCTCCCGTGGCGCCTGGGGCTCCCTGGTGCGTCTGTGCCCTGAGCCTGATGCTTGAGTTACAGACTGAGTTTACAGTGAAGATACTGGGTCTTCCAGAAGATCACTTATGTAGTCAGTTCTAAGCATTAACTTCTCTTTAAAAGACCTGAGATAAAAGTTTGTTTGTTTGTTTTTCAAACTTTCATCTCTTTTCCACTCACCATCCCCCTCTCATGAACTAGTGGTTATATTTTGTTTAAGAAATTGAACCTGACCTTTTATTACAGGAGAGACCCTAGAATAGTTGTGTAATGCTGAATAACTATACATTATCTCACAGTCTTACTAAAAGTTGTTAATAAATCCTTGAATAATTACTTTTAAATTGCACATACCTCCAGCAGAAGCAGTGAAAACAGTGTAGGACTTGAAATGTGCCCTAATGTTTTACAGTTTCATGGAACCTGCTATTGGAATCGGTAATAGTCTCCCAGTAGGTTGGAATGAGGTGATTCTGGGAGGTACGTGAGGTGGTTCTGGGAAGTACAGGATGTACTTCCCTGGATCCTTTGGGGGGAAGTGTGTAGGACATTCAGGTTCTTTTTGGTTTAGTTTCGGGGTTTTTGACTTAAAATGAGGGTCTGCTAAAGAAACCTCTTGATGCCCCGGGTTTTGACGCTCTACCATTAATTTTTTTTTCTCTGCAACACAGGCTAGTTTGGAAATCAGCTCTGCTTTTTGTCTATTGTTTTCACATCTTTCCTTGCACAATTTATCACAGAAGTGAGACTCTCCGTGGCGGGTTACAGAACTGGTTCTCAGAGCTAGTTCTCAAGCTGCCATTTAGCATGAAAGGCCTTTTCTTCTTTCAGAAAATACCCCTAGCAGCTCTTATCGTTAACTGGCAGGAGCCTGAATCTCTTCACGTCTCTGGCCCACAAAAGTCCCTGCAGAAACTGGGGAAGTTTATAATACTGTAGTATCTTCAGAACAGTTGTTAAATATTTGTCTTCCTCCCACTTCTAATGACAGTGCTCTTCTGTCTGAGAGGGTGAAACTATCTGTTCTGTGGTCAGGTTTAAATAGTACTGCTGTATCTAATGGTAGCAGATAAAGGTTCTGCCGTTCCCAGCACAGATACTCAGCTTTCATAGACCTGCGGCTTTTGAACAATTCTGGTTTGCTTATTAATGGATAGTTAAGTTTATGGTGTTCGTGGTGAGACATATGCACCTGAAGTCCATTAGACATGCAGAAAATCTTGCAGGTAAGCACTGCCCCTGGATATAGTGTTATTCTAAACTATCTTCCTGCCTGTTAAGTGGCTAGATAGGAATTTTAAAATAATTATAGAATAGTTCAGGGTCTTCCTATTTGGAGGCTGTTCTTTGTTAAACCAGCCCTGTGGTTAGGACAGCTTTCAGAAGGGAATGTATTTTTTTTGTCAACCATGTGGTGTCATTTGCAATGAAGATTTAAATGCCTTTTCTAAGGGGCAAAGATACTAACAGGTTGAGATGGGAGGGGAGGATCTCCAGGTGAACCTGTCAGGACTTTAGAAACTGACAGGTGAAAGTTTTTGTGCCACGCACTACAAATGGAAATACAACCCATTTCACACCTGGTATTGTGTTTGATGATCACCCTTTTTGCTGTGTGTTCCTCCAGGAGTGTGCATGGATTTTCCAGTCAAAATAAATGACAGTCTGTGGGGTTTTTTAACTATTATTATTATTATTTTGCAATCCAAAGGCATAGAAATCTAACTTTGGTGTGATAAGTGAAGGAGAATAAGCTTTGGCAGTTTCCAAAACTTCTGAAAACTTTTATTTTCAGTGTTTAAGAAAAAGGGCTTTCCAAACAAAAGGTGGAGGAACAGGAACTTCTTGAAACTTCTTATTGGTTAAACATACATCAAACCCAGCAAAACCTCTTGAGTAGGTTAGGAATAAGTAGGAGGCTGACATAGTTTTAATATATATAGTTGCAGAACACTTCAGGTACTAAAACTTAAGGAGAAAAGTGTCAGGTGTAGGGGATACAGCTATTTCTAAATGATTAGTCATCAATTGAGTATTTAGTATAATAGGTAGAATAAGATTTGAGATCTTCCTCTAGCTGAAGCATCAGCTTAAGTCTTGCTTCCATAAGTGACTGCCAAATGGTGAAAGCTGGGAAGTCCCCTAGTGAAAAACAGTAGTGACCAAGCTGGCAGCATTGGATTATTCATCTGAACAGTTCAGAGCAAAACTGTTTTTTCCTTTTTATTTATAAAATTCTTAAGGGTAAATTCTGCTTTTTACTGCACCTTGCACAGTGGTTCTGCAGCACAGACCAGAGTGTCTGTTACTGTCTATGGGTAAAATATCTGTTTAAATATGAGAAGTTGTAGCTTGTGAAGGACATCTTCATTGGCTGCAGCAAAGCCTTCAGTGGGTTGTTTTGCTGGAGGTCTCTTTTGTGAAGGCTTCTCTGGAATTGTCAGCACATGTTTCTTTAAACAGTTGATCTTTCCACTTGTACCCAGTTCCTTAATTTTGGCACTTTTGACTGTTGAATAAAATACTTGTGCGCTTTTCTCCAGATGGCTTATTTACTAAAAGAATGTGTTGGGAGGCAGCTAAAAATAGACCTTCTAATGGGTGATATCACTGCAGTATTTCATATTCCTCAGGTGAGTCCTGTCTCCCATTTATCTGAGATCGTCACCCAACAGAAGGTGCTTGACCAGAGGGATTTTTTTTTCGGTCATGTGTGTATGCACGTAAGAAAGACTATTTGTTGCCATTCAAAATGTAGCATGCTAATTTCATTAACATTTCATGCTGATACATACATATATATGTAATATGTATATGTAATATATACGTATGTATGCTAATACTAATACATACATCTCTTGGTCAAGTATTAGTCTAAGTATTAATGAACATTCTGCTAGTAATTATTCTGATAATCTGAAATTTTAAGAAGGCATAACTATCTTACATATGGTTCAAGGCATAAAAGATCCCAAGCAAGTTAAAATGCTATTTAAAGAATACTTACAAAATATTGTAGTAGCTTCTGTGTGCTGAGGACAACCTTGCTGTGCCATACAGCTGGCAGCTAGTGTATGCCCGGAGTGTAAAGGCAAGTACAGGAGTGAAAAGAAATATTAAAAAATTCAGGAGAGAGGAACAAGGACGGAAATTATTCCAAACTGATACATCAGATTTATTTGCTTACACAACATATTTAGACCCAGTGCTTATATTGGTATCCTGAAGAGCTGGAGTCTAATGGATACCTAGCTTCTGCCTTTAATGGTGGTATTAGTATTCCTAAAGCAAAGTTAACAGCACTGCAAAACATCCTAAGACAGCGCTTAGGCACCTGAGGTAGGTCTGTATTGCATGCAACAACTGTATTTGCCTTTTCCCTTCATGCAAAGCACCAGGAATAAATGGCAGGAGTCTCATGTAGGGTGCAGCTCCAGAGGCTCAACCCTGCAGCTCAAAGTGGTACCTGCTTTTCCAGCAGGGAGACAACAGGGAGGGATTGAACAGGGAGAACCCATTTTTCCTCTTAAGTACACATTGTCACATACCCTTAATATATGAGGAGTTAGCTTGTCCTTTGCATAGTGGAATTATTTTTATATTTGGAGAAAAAAAAATTGTAGATGAAATCAATCATGAAAGCACTAGAAAAGTATCCATCAGTTTGACAGGTTCCCAAAGTCTTTCCAGGACAGTCCAGGGGTGAGACCAAAGGGACAAGTCACATCCGCTGAGATGCTCCATGACTCCATGAGCAGCTGAAGATGGGAGCTGCTTGGATGAGGGCTTGGTAACCACTCAACCACCAAGTTGTTTTTCTGAGAAATGTCTTTAATAAGTACATTTTCATTCATGCATGTTTTGTTCTTGACTTTCCTTAGAGGCTTTAAAAGCTCTGCACTTTATTTCAAGTGGGTTTTAATTGTATTAGGAAGTATACAGAACGGCACCCGAGAAGAAGATACCCTCTTCTCTCAGAATTTGGCATCTGCCAGGTTCAATTATTAGCGGTTTGTTCTGTGGCCTCAATCTCCTTTGAGAACATGTTACTTACCCAGAGAAGATGAATGAGCTGAGGTCAATCTTCCTTCTTTCCATAAAAGGCCCTGTCAAATCTAGTTATCTAATAGAAGGAAATCATGATTTATCACCTTCTGACATAGTAAGGATTTTTAGTTTTATATTAACTCATACTAAGATACTAGAATTTCATTGTAGTGCTTAACTTTTGAATGGTTGTTTTAAAGATACGTAAAGTAAAAAAATAACGTTTTAAGATCCTTTTTCTTCATTTAAAAAGATATAATGGGGAGATAAGTATTTCTGTGATGAGTTAAACTGACTTGCTGATTATGTTGCCTCTCAAACACCTTCACATTAGATAACACCCTTTCATACTCGTGTTATTCTTCTGTAAAAAAAAACGAGTTTTTAATTATTTCCTGACTTATTTACTTACTCTTTTTTCAGTTATTTGCCTCCTTTAATTTGTTTCTCATTTTGTATGAATTATCACTGAATTGGAATATATTTAACTATGCAATGAAATGGAAGGAACAAACTGTGTAGCTACAGAACAGCCTAGAGCACTAAAACATTTCCACTCTTAACAAGGAGCCTCTACCATCCTCTTTTTAATTTAAGCAAAAGATATTTGGTTTCAATGTAACTTTATTAGCAATGTGAACAGTAACATATTTTTCAAATTAAGTAGCAAGCCTGTATTATTTTAGTGGATGCAATTTAAAAAAACCCTCGTAGCATCTAAATTATTGCCCTTTTTGCAAATAAACTTGATTTTTATTTCTTCCAGCTTTTGATTTTTTTATAAATGGTCTTTTTAACAAGTTGAATATGTTTTACAACTAGAATATGTTTTACCTCACTAGATATATAATTTACTAGAGCCTTAAAGTGGAATAAAAAGCAGTCTGTCCAAGCTTGAGAGTTTTGAAACCCTTAGGTTAAGAAGCTCAAGAAGGACAAATATCTCAGAGGATAATTGGTGTTCCTCCTCAGGGATGCTTTAAATTGAGTTATTTTAGTTGCCTGTGATTTATCGCATAACATTTTTGAGTATGAACTTTCATTTCCATTATAACTTTAGTTCTGGAGCGTAGACTAAGTATTACTTAGTATTATTGGGATCTTGTCCCGCAGGCTCCCGAGGAGGCCCTGCTGCTCGCAGACACGTGCGCGGAGGGGCCGCGGGAGCAGCGCCCTCCACTCGGCGCTGAAAATCCAGTCTGGGCGCAGGGCGGGACGAGCGGAAGGCTGGCTTTGCAAGCCAGGGACACTTTAATGAAGCTCCTGTTTATTATCTTCTTCTTTTTTTTTTAATCTTAAGTTTACACACTAGTTCAAAGGACAAATAACTAGTTTTCAGGTTACTTCTGTTATGCCGTGTGATGCTTGATTTGCTTATTTAATGTTCAACTATATAAGCTTCAAATAATGTATATTATATAGTTCAATTAATATTATTGCTTTCAACTTTTACTGGCTATAAAGGTTGAAATCTGCTCTTCTGTGAAAAAAGAGGTAATAATAGGACCATGCAATCCTTTACATAGGCCAAATTTTGCCATACTTCCTGAGCTGGAAAAAGTAATTCCTGCTTATTTCTTTTCTTAATACTATCATACTCAAGTTGTATTTTCGCTACCACATAATAAGGCTTAAAAAACACAGTCTTTTTTTAGATCCCCCATATATCTACCATTGCATGCCAACTTTAGGGGAAAAGAATAGAGACATGGGCAGTGTGAGTTGAAATGTATTGGGTTACACTAACAAAATGCTGTCTTGGATAACTATATATTCTAGACAACATTAATATATTCATCATAAATCGGTTACAGAACACAGTAGGGAAGATTAGTAGTTAAAATTGGAGATAATAAGGATTTGAAGAAATCTAGAATGAGTAAGAGTTGGCAGCTATAGAGACAACAGTGAGCTTTGCAGAAATAAGAAACTACTCCTGAAGTTAACTGGGGACCAGTCACCTGCTGCTTTAACTGGTGACATGAATATTAGGCATATTTTGTTGAAATTGGCTGAAACTAAATTTGGGAGAGTTTCAATAGAAAAGAAGCCTCAGAGATCAGATAAAAAAAAGAGCAGATGCTGCTGAGGACTGAAGCAATAAATATTTAGAGACCTAAGTGGTACGTGATGGGGGTTCCTTGCCCCAGCTGCTGGATCTCCGGTGTGTGAAGGACACGGATGTGCTGCGTGCTTGCTGCAGGACAGAGAGCTGCTGATGGGGTACAGTTATCAGAAAGCAAAGGTGATCCCAGGATATGTCGGGAGGACCTCCAGCAGGGAGGAGAGCACGGAGGTCCCTGCGCAGCAGCCTGGAGTGCTGCAGAGGGCTAAGTGCCCCCACCTGGGAGCAGCAACTCCGTATGGATGGGGCTGGGAAGGACTGCCCGCTGCCTACTGCCCTCCGCATCCTCCCCGGAGAGGAATGAAGAGTTCGGCCTCTCCAGCCTCGTGCTGGGGAATGGCTGCTCTATGTGTATTGAGGGAAGGGAAGTTTCTGAAGCTGAAGAACTTCTTGGTAGAAGTATAAATCGATTTAGTTCTAGTAAATAGAGGCTGAAAAGTTAGGAACTTTGTACCTAGGGTCAGCAGGTTTCCTGGAGCAGAGAAAAGTAGGAGGCAGCAGGTGGAGCCAGGCCTGCCCTGAAAGCAGGGAGAGGGATCCTGTGGAGCGGGAGCCTGGCTGGTCTCCCCCGAATCCTCCTCTGAGGCTCTGGATGAACTGTTGTGGAGCGGAGATGTTGAGGCTTGCGTGGTGCCAAGGAAGAGGCTTCTCTCATTGCCTTACAGAGCTCCTCTGAAGCTGCCCTATCAGCTGCTGTATGAATTTGCGTGTTTAATTCTTCTCTGAGCAAAATCGTTTTATTTCAAAGATGGTCTCATGCACTCATCATCATCACCACGTTGTTTTCCTTCATAGTTACTTGTTACTTTTTCAAATACCTACTGTATTTTTTTTTCTTTTGTAGAACAGTTCGAGTCTGGTTGAAGAGAGACAGTGGGCAGTACTGGCCCAGCATATACCACGCAATGCCATGTAAGTATATGGAGATGTTCACTGCCTACTGTGCATTTGCAAAATGCCTTTTCTGCTTTCGATGAAGCTTTGTGCTTACAACCATTTCCAGGATTGCTTCTCCCTATTAAATACTGTGCTTGAACAATCTTGTCAGCTGCTGTGAAGCTTTACCAAGTTGCATGCTAATACAAAATCCCCTCTTAAAATTTAATGCAAATTATGTGATGCTTTAAATGCTTATGTCCTTTGTTACTATATCAAGTGGCAGTTATTTTGTTCTTACAAGTATCTAAGGCAATGCAGCCTTAACCTAGAGCAGTTTACAGTTTAAATCAGCTGCTGTGCTCAGTGGGAAAAGGAAGCCTTTGATAGACGGGATGCCCTTCTCCTGCAGGAGGGCCCAGTGCCAGAGGAGGATGCTGAGGATACAGACCCCTGCCAGTGTGCCAAGCACAACTGCAGCATGGATATGATGGCCTTGGGAGCTGGTGAAATGTGCAGTGAAGATGGGAAGGGTACCGTGAAGGGGGCTAAGTAGACAATAAAAAGGAAAGTGATAAAAGCAAGAGGATAAGTATAAGCAGCGTCGTACTAGCAGTTTGGCAGGGTAAGGCAGTTTGGAAAGACAGATGGGACCAAATCCGTGCAGGGAGAATCCAGCAGCAGAGACCTGTGTGTGACAAGTGATGGGCAGAGAGGGAGTAAAGGATGGGCTCCCAAGAGACTTTGGGATACAGCAGCAGCAGGAGGCAAAAACTCTAGCAAAGGATGAGCACTGAATGCAAAAGCAGAGCAGCACAGATTGGAGCCCAACGTGCAGCCTCGCATTCTGCCCCTAATGGAACTCACAAACATTTATGAGCCTGAGAGATAAATCACTCTGCCCTTCCCCCTGCATTTGCTCAATCCATTAGGTTAGATTGGGAAATGGTTGTATTTGATAAGAACTTAATGTCCAGCAGCCAATACAATAGATCAGGATACTAGACAGAGAAAGGAGACTTCCAGTGAAGGAGCAGAATCTTTTTGCCAGGGTCCAATGTGAAAAAAAATCTATCTGACGGATCCCTCCAGTATGATGTGCTGTATATCTCCCCCTCCAAAGCGTGTTCTTGCTGTAAAAGAATTTGCAGATAAGTGTCCCTTTTTTTCCAGCAGACAGTTGAGGACAGCACTCTCCTGGCTGTGTGTCATAGCCCCTGTGCTGCAGGGCGTGCAGCTTCACATACACTGCTGCATTAGGCCAGCCTTGGTGGGACGATGGAGCTGCTGATCTTAGCTCAGACAGATTGGGGAGCGCTCGCCCAGGCCCACTGAAGTGTTCCTAGTGCCTGGAGAAAGTAGTATTTTACGATAACAACTATACACAACTATACAACGCAACTATATCTGGAAGATGGCATCTTTCTCTATGAAATATAAGATGTTTAATAGATACAGCTGTGAAACAGTTCTGGTTCCATGGCAGCATAAACTTGGGGCTCTAGAGTGGCCATGGTGCTTGACTGCCTGCTCCAAGGAAGCACGAATTTGGTGTCCTTTTTGCCAAGGACAAGATTTTAAAAATATTTCAAATCTTTAAGGTATTTTCTCTTCAATATTTTGCTCCAAAAGTTATTAGAAACTGCATAGAGACTTATTTTTGTGGAGCTCGGTCTGCCCCAGTCACTAGCAGTGGCTTGGGCTTCACATGGCTACAGAGGTTTGTGATCCCCAGTCCAGATGTTGTGAAATGGCTCTTCCAGCCGCTCGGCATTGACACTTTTTCCATATGGTGTTTCTGCATACATGTGCGTTTAAAATCCTGTCAGCTCCTCCTCCAGACTTAGAGAGGCTGCATTACTGCCAGTAGTAACAGTTGTACTGGAACTGTTTGAGTAGGCCCCGGATCCAATACAAGGATGTTATTTTAAAGCTTCTTCATGAATATGAGCACCTAAGAGTACAGTGTGTCTTCACTAATAGATTAGTAAACTTGCAAGTCATCAGACATGAAAATTAAGTCATGTTATCATTACTTTCAGGAATGGTCAGGTATAATTAGAGATTGGAGCAATGCCCGTTAAATTGTTACCAGTCAAGGCTTTAAGGCTGGCAACCATAGGCTGAGCTCTGAGTCTCTGCCCTGGAGAAGATCAACTCGCCTGCCTGTGTGTGGAGCACCTCTTCGAAGGGCCTCTCCTGTAGGGTCGCGTTATTTTCTCTTGTCCGGAGAACAACAGCTGTTCGGAGTTGCTCTGTGGGGGAATGCTGCAGGCCCGAGGTTGCCTGGGGGCCATGGCAGGCGGCGAGGTTTGCCGTCCTGCCTGCGCTACCCGTTCGGGTGAGTCAGGCCTGTGGCAGAGCCCTGCGCGGCCCACACCTACGCGGTTTTGGTGCTGAGTCTGCAGCGTGGGCGCTCGGGGACATGAGTTGGGCTGAGTCACCCATGTGCTTTGGACAAGTGCTCTCCCCTGATAGGGCCCTCAGTGCATCTTTAATGTGACAGCCATTAGATATCTGGCAAAGGAAGATCAAGGCTGTAGATTGCTTGTGGCTGGGGGCATTTTCTGTTGTTTAGAGGTGGAGTTTCCTGCTTAAGAAGTTTCGTGCCCTGGCTGTGGATGTTTCTGTGCTGGGAAAGCTGCGGGCAGCATGGTAGTCACGTTTTCGATGATCTCCCTCAGCACATGAGGAAGAAAGAGCTGGTGGTGAGTGATTTTTTTTTAAGCAGTCGCCTTTCCAGCCAGATCCCTGCACAGCCAGGCCACTGCAGAGAGAGCACGTAAGGAAAACTCCCTGGGCTATATCTCCACAGGCCTTTCTCAGACAGGGCTCCAGAGCAGCGTTTGTCACTAAAAGGCTTTTTGAGAGCAGCTGGCACAGAGTGTGGCCCCAGGGGATGGGGTAGGTTGCATTCATCCTTGCTGACCCAGTGGTAGGACTTGTTCTGCTTTGAGAAGCCAGCATAGACAACCCCGGTATCAAAAAGACATGCTTGTAGATCAGCAGCAAACTAGGTAAGCTGGAAACCTGCCTAATGCTTCACCTTCATGTCAGAGTTATCTCAGCAACTGTATTAGCAGAGGACCTCTGATCAGCTGGGTAATCCTCCCAGTGGTTAGACTTGCAACCTTTCACCCTTGCGGTAGTGTCTGTACGCAAGATAAAAACCATATATACGTGAAATGAAGAAAAGAAAAGGTATTGCAGTGAAGAGAAGTAAGCTTTGAAAAGAAAAATCCAAACTCAGTCAAACAAAAACCCCTCTCAAATGCAGAAGTTCAGTAAAGGTTTTAATGTAATGAGGAATAGTGAAATATCCACTATTTGAGACAGGTAATAAACTTCCTGCCTTATGATAGTTTTTGTAGATTACACTTTGCTTTGAAGAGGAGGATAAAAACCTATGCAAAGCAAAATACGTGTTTAAACTTATGACACTTTCGGGCACTTGCAACAGGAGAGACTTGAAACTGCAGGTGCAAGGTGTGTATTTTTCTTCTCCTTGTGCCAGCTTCTAATAGAGGTGCCACACTGCTGAGCACATGAAGTATGTCATTGGATTATTCCTGTAAAATTCAGTTTCCAAAGGCAAAAATCAGAGCATTGGTGCGTATTTGCCCTGTATATAGGGAGAATGATAGAGGCAAACTTCTACGCCAACCTCTGTAGTGACTACTCAGCTCCTATTTTGTTCCAGCCTGAAATCCGAACCGTAGTAAGGTTCTGAAATAAAGGGCCTTCAGAGGCTTTTTCCTGGCTATCATTTTAAAAGGATATTAAATCTCCTGAACTTGGGGCCCCCCATCACAACACGCACAGCCCTTTTTTTTTTACCCTCTCCTTTTAACGAGCCCTAGTGCTCATGTATCTGAATGTCATAGTCTAACTTTCCATGCGCAGGCGGCTGCAGTCATGTCACAACAAGTGGTATCACTTTAACAACATTAGCATAGCTAATATGGGCATAATTTTAATGCTGACATAATGATTTCTCTGAGAGTAAATGTCACGGAAGAATTCCTTTTGGAAAATCATGATTGCAGGATAAGTGTCTTTACACTGCTGTGGTTTTGTAGGCACAGATCTGGAGCATAGGACTACTTCTTTTTTTATTGTTACCCTGTCTCAAGCAGTTGCTTGCACCTTTGTGCCTGAAGTGCTTCAGGCTGTTTGGAAAAAGCATACTACAGATGACTAATTTACCTGCAACGTTTTTTGTGAGCTGTGGATTGTCCTAAGAGATGTTAATAATGCTTTAGTGTATGCATTAGCTCACACTTAGTCTAGTCTTTAAAGCTAAAACACAGATTATGTCAATCCCAGCATTAAGTGCCTTTAAAATGATTTGATATTTATTCTCCTTATGATTGTTTTTCCTTTGTTAGGTACTTTTTAATATTTTCATTTCTGTCTGAAGAGAAGGTGAAACTGAAGAGTCAGGTTTGCCTTTTCTGAGGAGGAGGTGGGAAGGAGGGCTTCGGCATAGTTAGGAGCCCTAATTGAAGTGTTTTCATTCTGACAGTTCCCCTGAACTGAAGCCTTTTCCCTGATTTAATTGAGTCAATCATTCCAGGAATGAAAGGAAGGAATAGAGAGAGCTGCCTGATGGCATGGGAATCTCGTAGGCTTTCTGCCTGTGCAGAGAGTACAACAATTTCTGTTTGATAGCCAACGTGCATATAGCTGTTTGATATAGCTGTATATAGAGCTCTTCTGTTTGATAGCCAATGTATATCCTCTTCCTATAGCTGTGCTGCTAACTAAACTAATGAGAATCACCCGCTGAGCTGACTGGACTGTTTAATCCTGAGTGAGGCATCACACAGGTCGAGAATATACCAGAGAGGCAGTACTGCAAAGGGAAGCACTCCAGGCTAACTAGGAACAAGAACTGCAAATAACCATAGTGGGGAATAGAGGCCAAGAGGGGAAAAAGCAGAACTAAAAGCTTATCTGACCATATTCTGTATTTATCACAAGAATATGTTTTTTTTTTTAAGAAAAGCTTGCCACTATGGAAGGGGCAAGAATCTCTGCCCCTAGCTACAGTTGGCAACTTCCACTGAAAACTTAATACCAGAGTTTTCTGTTGGGACAGCTAGGGCCCCAGCTGCATGCTGCTGTGTTAAGTAGTCAAAACAGCCCCTGCCTGCTGAATGCAAGGCCATAGTTTCTCACTTAAACTGTGTATATCTCTGGGATTGTTATTAGAAAATTCTGGGTTTGCCCTGGCATGTGAACCTCACCAGATTCTCAAGAGAGCATTATATGACTTGCATGAAATTTAAGAGTATATCCTGATGTTTACAGAAAAGTTTTGATGTAAGAAAACATCTTCTAGTTTTCAGCAGACTTTTATTTTGACCATAGTTTATGATACTATAACTACTTTGTCTGTGGTGAAACTAGAGTAGGAGATGGTTAGACTCAAAGCCCTGACTGACTGATACCTATGAGTTAAGTTTCTTACCCCAGGTATAAGATGCAAACCTCTGACATAACAAAATTGTTTTATTTTATTGTTGTGAAGTTCAGGGAAATGTAGGAAACTAAATTATTCTGCTAAACAGTCTCTCAGATTCATACTGGAATGTCCAATGTCTCTCATATCAAGATAGCACCGCTGCTCTTGTCTGACATGCCTGTTTTCAGGTAACTTCAGCAAGAAAAAATGAGGGAACTGGAGCAGAAAGTAGCCATTATTCCATAGCCTAATGGGATAGGATTGAATGAATTACAAAAACCTTTTTTTAATGTTTAGAAAAGGCAAAATGATGAACACCACCATAAAGCATGTTAGCTAGTTTTAGCTTTTCCAGAATTTCAAGATAATGAGGATCATGGTTTTGTTAACTTCATCAACATGTTCATTTCTTTCAGCTCCATGTTCATGCATGTCTTTTAACCCGGAAACCAGAAGGCTGTCCATAGGTCTAGACAATGGTACAATCTCAGTAAGTACATACCAAGATTTCTAGTTGAAATGCTTCCCTTTTGAGAAGTATATGTGTGATGTTGTGGTGAGGATATTTTTGTTAGTGTTTGGGAGAGATAAAGCTTACTGCTAGTAGAACTGCAGCATAGAAAATGGAAGTTTATTGCAAATTTCATATCAACTGCCACATAGATTTTGAGTGGGTTTTACAATATTTATTAGACATCTAAACAAACTGACTTAATTTGCACAGTTCTTAAAAATAACAACATAAAGGAACAGCTGTCATTTTATTAAATTTGAGTGCCTTGTTAATCATACCATACCAAAGTTTTCTGAGAACAGCAATTAAAAGAAGAAAAATCATCTTCTGAGAAGTAGAAGGTGGATTCAGCTCCAAATCTAGCTCCTTTTCCAATCTTTGTGGGTCACATTTTATGCTCTCTTCTCACTTCCTTTGTAGGAGATATTCCTAATTGGCGCTGCTGTTGCCGAAAGATTTGGTTCATTAACATCTAAGAGGATCTCTGTGTGTGGAAAGGAAGGAGAATATCAAAACAGAAGTCTGCCTCCTGGATTTGAGACAGAGGGTAGCAGTTGACCTTATTCATTGGATCTGTCTTTTGGGGTGACTGGCTAAGAGCTGTATTACCTAGTAGAAGAGAGCTGTGGGTCAGAGTGTTTTTTACCTGTACTTAATCAATAGGCTCCCTTTTCATCTGAAGAACATTTTGCCACCATTTCAGATTCTTGTCACAGGTGTCTCTGTCCTACAGGCTTTATAACTAAATGAATTGGCCTGCAGGTTCACACATGGGCAGCTCTCTGCACTAAAGCCAGCCTGGCATTTGGGAGAGGATGCATGACCCTTTTAGCTGTTGCCTGTGAGCTACATCAGAGCTGTGAAGGTTTTGACCTATAAAGCTATTAGGGGCTCAGTAACAGAGAATTTTGGTGCCCATAGGAGGTTTCAGCTTTTGTGTCTAGGCAATGGGATAAATGCCAGAGAATTCTCTGCACCTCTGAAATTCCTCCTTCCCACTCTTTGAAATAGCTTTAATCTGCCAGTCCTGCTAGACACATTTGTTTCACCAGCCCTTTAAGGGATGTGAGGGCGACTGGAAAGGAGAAGGTATTTAAATACTCTGCTTGATGCAAGAGTTGTGTCCTTCTTCCTCAGGGCATTTTGCCTTGACGGTGGAAAGGTGCTTGAGTTGAGGGTCAAATATTTTCCATTCTAAAGCTAAGGTCAGTAAATGAAATGCGACTTTGGGTATTTAGTAGTCTGTATTGCTGTGTCCAGAGGCAGATCCTGGCTGTTGCCAAGCTGTAGGGTTTTTATGCCCTATTTGGAATACAGGTATTCAGAGGGTGGCTTGGTCCCCGCTAGCCACAGGCAGCTATGTGGTAGGAGCTTGTACAGAGCACGTGCTCCACCAACTTCCACGAGTGACAAAACGTTTCACATCCCTTTCTAGCAACCTAAGACTTGTAAGAAAAGGCACAGTTGTCGTGCTACAAGAAGTGGTGGAGGTGTGGAGGGAAGAAAGGGTACCTCCTCGCTATACTGAGGTGCTGAAACAAAATCCCAGGTGCTCAAAAAGCAGCCTGCAACCGTGCTCTAAAGGAAGGGAAAGTTCTTCCTTTCTGGACCACAGAATAAGAGAACTTATGGCCTTAGGGCACTCTGTGACCTTAGAGGAAAGTACAGGTAACTTCCTCCCGTAGCCTCAGTGTTTGGCAGTTGGTCAGCTCTTCCGTTCCCGTCTGCTGAAACCCAGCACCCTGGTGTGTGCTGGGTGCAGGATAGGAAGGACTTCTGCAAAGGGCTCGAAGCTGATACAGTTCTTATATGTGTGCAACATAACCTCTAATTAATCTTTATGTAGTGCAGAAAAGTCAGGTTGACTTTCAGAAGTAAATGGGGATGAGTAAGGGGTTTTTTTTTCCTTTGCAAGAAATTTTGGAAAACTAGATGGCTTTTGGTTATAAGCCTAGCACCTCAGAAATTGCATGGTACATTTCAGGAAGGATGGGAAGCAGTGCTCTTGTCAAAGGAAGATGTTCCAACATTACCATGAGGTGAGCTTTTGTGCCTTATTTCTACCATGTAAAGCACAGTAACAACAGGGTGACAAGTTTTCCTTCTACAAAGGTGAAGTAAGAGATTGTTTCAGCCTTTTGTAACTCCTCTGCAAGAAGGCTGCACAAACATTTGTGAAGAGTAAAAGACGTCTTGCTTGACGAGCAGTGGTACCTAAAGCAGTAAGGAAGTTTTGTGTAGTCTTTATTGCCTTTGCAATCCCATTTTAAGAAAAAACAATATGTCTGTTACTTTATGTTTAGCAACTGGGTTTTTTTGTTAGTTTGTTTTGTTTTGTTTTTTTGGAGCCAAAAGATTTTATTGTGGTCATAAACTCTTCGCTCTTAACTTAAACTGTTTTAATGAGCTCAAGTCTCTGGAGACACCACAAAGCAAACCAATAGAGAAAAATTCTTTCAATTGTAGTAGAAAACTTATAGAAAATAGCCAAGATGAGAATCCTTCTCTCACTTCATCCATCTGAATGTCAGCTTCCTAGGCAAAAGTAATCGTTAGGCTCTGCAGTCATTAGGCAGAGTGAATTGCCCTTGGAGATTTCCATGTTACTTACCCTAGAAGCTGTTTTAGAATAACATGAATGTCTCTTCCCTATTCCCCGAGGAAAGAACTGAGGGGTTTTGTTTTTATGCTGCAGAGGCTGAATGAAATTAATCTTTTTCTCCGACCATGTTTGTTCAGGCAAAGTTGCTGTACACTCTGAACTAGGCAACAAGGAAAATAGGCCACCAGGGCCTCCAGAATTCTTCTTTGGAAATGATACTTGCTAAATAGGTTCATCTTCCACATCACTTGACCTTGCAGGTATCCAGAGATTTGGCCATAAACAACACTTTGAAAACCTTTGACTGAGTTAGGCTCTTCCTGACAATGCTTACCCTTCCCCCCTGCCCCTGTAGCAAGTTTAGTATTTTTACCTTCAGGAAAACTACATTGTATTTTGTGTCTTCTTCCAAATTGAGTATTATATAAAGTAAACCCCCTGTAACCATTTTACAGAGCTTTCTTTGCAACAGGAATAGATGTAGACTGTGCTAGTAGATTTGAGAGTCTTCATCCACCCTCCTCCAATTCTGCTGCTAGTTAGTTGCTCTCTAGTGAGACAAGGTGAGAATTGATTGTTTGAGTTAATAGGATGAAGTGAAGGCTCTAAGGAGATCTGCTCTGTGGTGTTAAAATGACATCACCTAGGGGTATAGATAGTAAATTCCTTGGGCTGGGAACTAGGTTGTGAATGAGTGACACACAGCTAGTGTATAATGATTATTGCCCCTTAGGATGGGATACAGTTGCCTAAGCAGAGTGATATTTTCGTAATGTAAGAGAATGATATTTTCGGATGTCTTATTTCATGTCCAGATGCAGAATATGGGTATCTTGTAGAGCCTTGGTCATATCAGCAGCCCCAGGCCCCTAGCTGTGGCACACAATGTGCAGGTTTTGTTTACCTCGGTAGGAATAATTTGAAGGAGGGTGCTGATTTTATTTCCTGGATGAGGATTTCCAAAGGTCACAGACTCAAGAAAAGTTCATGGTGGTTCGTTGGCATCTACCTGAGGAAGGTGCCCTCCGTGAAGGCATCAGTAAGAGTCCGTATGTAGCAGGACTGCGGGCACCAGATTGCACAGCTCAGATACTCAGAACTTCATTCTGCCCTGGGGAGGCTTCCATAGGATCACGTCACTTAATGGACTAAGCTTATCTTAAACAGCAGAGACTGATAACTGACATTTTCAATATGGCAAAGAAGGTAGCAAAGTAATTCAAAAAAAAAATGCAATGTTGCCAGAAAAAAAAAGTGTTTACAGTCCCTGAGAGAAAGCACCTCCTGTGCAAAAGGTACAGCAGGACTCAGAAATCTTTCTCTATTTGGTTAAAAAACAAGCACTGACTGAGCTGCGTGAGTGACCTCAGCCTTTCTAGCTCATTAAAAAGAGCCAAACAGCTCCCTAATGAGAAGCAAATGTCAGCAGCTCTGAGAGGAGCAAAATACCTGTGTCTGGAATGATAAAAGGCTCTCTCTGTTGGTAGGATTGTTTTAAGAGATGTAATCAATGCTTTTGTCATGCAGGTAACACAATATATGTACAACGGGGCATGAATTTATTGAGCAAGCTGCCCTGTGTTAGAATACCTGCTCACTGCAGCAGTTAATACATTTGGTCTTGGGAGGAATGAGGCAATAAATGCACTGGAGGAACATGTGAAGCAGGTCTAAAGGGAAGCAGGAAGTAAAAAGACTGGGAAAGATTAGAAAACACAAAACAAGGAGATATATCCTGATATAATACATGCTTTAAAAAGAAGAAAGGAAAAGCAAAAAATCTCAGTAAGTAAATATGCGTATATATAACACAAGTATTTGGGTTAATGGAATGGCGTTTGTTTTGTACTATGTTACAGACATCTTAAACCAGTTCTTTAGGTGGTGTGTAGTAAATACATGTGGCTTGTATTTAAACATATGTAGGGTACTTGGGTGAACATTAGTATTCCAGTTGTGCTTTATTCTTTGCAATATACTTCAGGAGCAGAGAGATTCAAAAGCCTTTTCAGTCTTCCACTGAAGCTATCTTAATAGAATGGTCATGTCAAATTTATTGCTGACAAGATGGGAGTGCAAACTACATTCTTCCTCCTGCTCAAGCCTGTATCTGTGTGGCACCACGGTGAAGTTTGGGGTTACTACCAGGGCATCTGAATTGGTGGCAAAGGCAGACAAATTCTCCTGCTGTGTGTGGCAGCAGTTAGAGCTGTTTCTCTTTAGCTAACAACAGCAGAAGGTTAATGGTCTCATTACCAAGGATCTTTCTTCAAGTGAGCATTTCATGTGGTGGTTCAGGATTCTTCAGGCAAGGTTAATGAAAACCACTTTCCCCATAGGCAGACAGGGAGGTATGGCCAATCTTAACGCTCCATGGATTTTAGAGTCAAGATGACCCTGGTATAGAAATCCAGGTGACTTAATTCATTTGTTTCTGCTGTTCAAATAACACTCCCTGTTGTAATCTCCAGCTGCCAGGAGATAGCTAATATGAGGTGGATTAAAGGAACAGAAAATGGACTAGAACATATATTTACAACATTTATAGCCAGCTTACGAGCAGAAACCTAGAAAGAGCAAAATACATAGGTGCCTCCACGCAGCCACAGTGGTTTTCCCAGAAGCTGGGGCTGCAGGTGTTAGTGGATGAGGTGGATGCAGGAGGATTGCAGCCTCCCCAGCTCTGTGCCACGCAGGATACCTGGTGCCGTAGGATAGTCCTGGTGCTGGAAAGCTGCGAGGGGCCGACTAAAGCAAAACGGCCGTGGGGTGCCTACTACCTACAGCCACCCCACAGAAAATGCAGAGTGACTTCCTCTGTTTTCTCTCTGTATATTTTGGAAACTGTAGGTAAATAGCAACTTTTTAATGGTTTGCATGTCTCCAGATACTCTTGTGCCCTTCTGTACACTGACTGTTTGGTTTGCTCTGTAAATACTGTGTGGGCTTATGAAGTCTAGTCCTATTTGCTTTTTTGTTGCACAGTACTTATAAATGGCAGTTGACAGTGCTCATAAATGAATATTTCATAGTTGTATGCTTTAAAATGTAGCTTGTCTTGTTTATGTGTCTCTTATTTTCACACTACTTCCACATTAAATCATTTAAGTTGTACTTCTTCCATCTCCTAGGTTAGACCAGAGCATTCCTGTGTAGCCTGTTAGAAATTAATGCAGTGTGTCTTTAGACTCCTTGTTTTTTCCTGTTTCCCTGAGTGCTCGGGATATGCATCCAGATAGCTGACAGTGGCTTCAACACCAGTTCAAGGGAGCAGGGAAGGCCGAGTGCTCATTCAGTTTAGCCCTGAGGGCCTTTTTCCAAGAGTCGAGGCTGCCACGCAGACCCTTAGCTGCTGTTTTCCATCCTCTCAATGGTCCAAAGTCAAATCAGGAATTAGGAAGCAGCACCAGGACAGCAGGACTGCGTAGGTGGGCCCTGCCCAGGTAGCAGAGCTTCTCCCAACCACACTTCACACCCACACACAAGGCTCCTTAGCCACGTGCAAGCAGTAATGAAGCAAGAGAGTCTCCTGAGATTCTAGAGTAAATAGCAGCCAGTAGTGGGATCAAAGCAAGTGAAAGGCCATATTCAGTGTTAGTTGGAGCTGCCGAGAGACTGAAGTTGAACAGAAGTCCTATATGGACTCCTATCATGGAACACCGGTTTGTAGTTTGGGCTGAGAGGCCTCAGGGGGCTTTTTAAATTGTATTTTTGCAGTGTCCGGGTTGGAGTGTGATGCGTGCATGCACATGCACCCACACACACGTCTGTGTATGTGTGCATGCACGGGAATGCACACAAGTGCACACTGTAGCCCAGGCTGCCCTAAGGAATGGCATGGGTGGCATGGGCTCGATTTCAGGTCTCCCATTTTGTTGTAGGTTGGCCAGAACTAGCCATTTTTGTTGAGTTTTTAAAATCTCTTTTCCTTTAGTAGTTCCTTTTCTATGGCCATGCTTCTCAGAACCACTTTTGAAGTCATGTCTCAGTAGTTTTAAAAAGTGAAGTAATTTGGATATTTAGTTGGAGGTACTTAAAATTAGCAAAACTGTAGGCCTTGTTGTGATTGAAAGGAGAAGAGGGCTTAGATTGGTAACAAATTCAAATGAAAACATTCTCAAACACTTTACATCTCTAAACACTGTTTCTTTGTTTTTTTTCTTCTTTTCTTTCCCTTTCTGCAGGAATTCATTTTGTCAGAAGATTACAACAAGATGACACTAGTGAAAAATTACCAGGGTAAGAACTGCGATTCGTGTTAGTTAGTTGGCTTTGTCATTATATATGTTTCTAATGTTCTCTTAAAGATGTGAATGGAGATAATTATCCTTTAATGTGGTTGATTAACTAATATAGATGCTGGTTTTATCAATAGATATTGATGCTTTGTTCTGAGATTACAAGATTTACAAAGAGCTATTTCGTATTCTGTCTTCTTTTTAAGCGTTCCTTGGGAATATTTTACTAGGTAGCAAACTCCCTATAATCCAGGGTGTGGGGGGAGCAGAGGTGTTAAGTTTTTATTTTAGTCTTTATAATCCAGTGAAACAATCTAAGAAACTAACCCATCTTTTTTAGGGATGAGACACTGAGCTTTTGTAGTTGATCTGGTTACATTTCAGTGATGTCTATTTAAGTAATGTCAAGTTTATCAGTAGATAATATCATAGTAAAAGGTCAAGAAACGATAATCCATACCTTTCCTTGTTCGTGTTCACTAATGCCATATTTTCAGAAACCTAGCTATTTATCCTTGTTAAACCTGTAAAGAGCACAGCACTTGTGATAAGTATTGTAAAAAAAGCAAATACATATTGCAGTCTGTTCTTCTCTCTCTCTTGCTGTTAGACTGAGAGAGAGCACCATGTTATTTGCTAAGCATTATGCTGCTGTGCAGAAGCTTTATGTATAGAAGCCAGTGCTGGCTTGATGTTCCTCACATGAATTTTACAATATGTGTTTACTCATATATATAAGATAGCTTTAAAGGTTGAAAGGATGATTTAAATCTCCAAATGAAGGCTCCGGGGATCACTTAGTTACATTTAGCTTTAAGGGTATAAAGAGAATTTTGATTTCACAAAACATGGTTAAAATACTTCTGCTTTTAAGCGTTCTGCTTCAGCTCTTTCATAAATGCCTGGTGGGTTGTAAAATCAAGCTAGAAAGTCTAAATTGTTTCTTAGCTTGTGAGAACAGAGCAAAAATACAAAAAGATGATAAAATACCTTAAATAAGATTGCTGTGGTCTTATTTATAAATCTTTATTATCTGAATTTGTGATTGCTCTGCCCTCTGAAGTCCATGTACCTATTGGGGCAATCTACTAGAGTAAAACAGTACTCAAACGAGGGAAAGATCAAATCAGGGGAAGCTTAAACCAGCTGGACTTGCACAGGTGCATGGGTGAACATGGGATACATCCAGGGGTGCTGAGGAATCTGGACAGGGTCATTGCAAGGCTGCTGTTTATCGTCTTCAAAATAGGATGGCAGTCAGGGCAGATCTTTGATGACTGGAAAAAAGCTGATGTCACATCTGTTGTCAGAGAGAGATATTAGGGATTTTTTAGGGACAATAATTAGATATTATGGATTTTTTTTTCTCCATGATGGTGGTCAGCCACTGTATAGAGGTGTCTTGGAGAGGCTGGAAAGGTTGGAGAGTGTCCATGCGTGGGGATAAAAGAATGTCCCCTGGACAGGCCTTGAAGAACCTCATCATGGTGGCCTGCTTTGCACTGCCATGTCAAGGAGGTGCCAGGCCCTTACTGTGACATTGCTGGTGAGCCCCTGGGACACACTGATGGGACCCCCTGTTCCTTGGGCCAGCGCAGGTCCTGCTGGGCTGCAGGGCATCACTGCGCTGACCACTGTAGGTCCTGCCAAGGACACTAAAGAAAAGCAATAGGCACCCATGCAGTCACTGAAGCTTTTCCAGGAGAAGAAATCTGGAAGGCTGGAGAGGAGAAAGGATGTGTTTAAACAAGTTCCAGTCACTCCTGGGTGGTCCCTGACCCTCTGTCTTGATAACAAATGTGGAAGTTGAAAGCATGTGGAAATACAGGCCATAATCTGAGGTCTGCTGTGGGTGAGGGTAAAAGCATCTGGCACAGTTCAAGCCTTATGCTGTAAGTTGCTCCTGTGCTGGATCAGAGTTATAGCAGCCTGTGTCAGTGCGTACCTTGTCTTTGATCCTGGAGGATCCACATTTAAAGAGTGGTGGGGATCAGCCGCAGGTGTGGGCCTGTGCAGGCCTTGATGCAGCTCATTCCCTTCCCAGGATCTGGACACGATGCTACTCTGTGCATTTTATAGAGTGGGCTGCAGCCTCTCCAAACAGTTCTGAGGCGTTTGACTCTCTGTTTCAGAGGGAGGTTTGAGGAGGGTTTTTAAGCTTACAAAACTGTTTATTCTCTCCAGCGTGTCAGCTTTTACACAAACAAATGGAAGGAGGCTGCTTTGTGAGACACATGTTCCTGGGTCCCAGAGCAGCCATAAACCAGAAGGCCTGTGGATTGAGGAATATGGCATTCACTGTTAAATTACAGCTGGGAACAATTCTGCGTGTCTTTCAAGCCATTTGTTTTATTAAAAAGTCAGCTCACTCAGCATTTCACCGCCAAACCCACTGGTCATTCATACAGAAAGCCCTCTGTAGAAGTCTGGGTTCCACTGCTTTGATGAAAAGCCTTTGGTGGCTTTATTTAGGTAGCAGGATAAATTTATTCGTGCAGCTGTTTTATTCGTTTTGCCCAGCTGTGATCTTCATGGTTTTTTATTTTCCCCCCCCAATTTCTTTATGCACATGCAAGGCTAAAAGTCTTCTTTGGTGTAAAATTGTGCCTATGCTGGGGTTCATGAGTCGGCCAGACCCACCAGAGCTCATGGGGGAGAAGCAGCAGCAACCACAGCATGAGCATCTGCGCTGCTGTCGTACAAGCTCCAAATGGGCTCCGGTGGGGCCCAGAGTCCCTTCCTGAGTCGTCACTTTGTTGGTGATGACACAGTGACCAACTGAAAAAGGAAAAGGGCCAGTATAGGCAAGGAAGGAATTAGATGCTGCCTCTCTATTTCTCATGCAAACGTTGAAGTTGCCAAGCAGGAGCCTTACAGGTAGCTCGTGTCAACTCAGTGATTAAACCCAAGTTTCCTCTGGGAGGCAGGAGGCGCAGGTGAGGAGGGAGCCGAGGATCGGCGGACAGGAGAGCGGTCTTCGCAGCGGTCTCCCCGTGTGTGTTCTCCGCGGCGCGATCAGGTGTTTGCTTGCTTTGCAGCTCATCAAAGCCGGGTCATGATGGTCCTGTTTGTCCTGGAGATGGAGTGGGTGCTGAGCACTGGCCAAGACAAGCACTTCACGTGGCACTGCTCGGAGAGCGGCCAGCGCCTCGGCGGCTACCGCACCAGCGCGGGCGCCTGCGGCCTGCAGTATCCTTTGCTGAGCTCCCAGCTGCTCCCACGTGGAATACGCAGGGTGGAAGAACCCTTCATTTTGCTGCACAGCACTTAGACAGCCTTTTTGGATGGGGTTCTAATTATCCTCCAGCTTTTGTGCCCTGCTCAGTGTTTTGTGAAAGAAATGGTTATTTAAATCCAATTTAAAAAAAACCTGTCTGTTCTCCTTGCTTTGCCTCTTTAACGCATGGTGGCATATTTAGGTCTAAGCATTTTTAAACAAAGCAGCGGGCAGTCTGCAACTGGCTGTAGTCTGCTGCTGAAATAAATATGGACAGAGCCCTCATTTAACCATGCAGTCCATTCTTTCTTGTGCGAATTAACAGTAGCGAAGTAGGTCAGTGGTCAGATCAGTTTGCCTATGTGTATGGATGGTAAGAATTAAATGACTTAAATATAAAATAATGAGTACTTGTCCTTCACTCTGGAACAACCCACTATGCTTTGGGATTATGGGTTATCTAAATGGTTTCAGAAATGGCACTCAAATGGCTTATTCAGCTAGAGCTTCCCCAGCTGCCTGACAATAAAAGAAATATTAATTCAGATTTATTGCAAATGAAAAGGAAAGTTGAAAAGTATGAGGTTTTATTCAGTGATACACCGGATGAAGCTGACACTTCCCCACATGTGACATAAAAACACAGATAGGCCTCTATAACCCAAGCAGGTATCACCAAATTGCTATTGGAAACCGCTTAAGGAGGTACCCTTCTGGAGGATTTCTGTGAGACTGACCAGTGGTCTAGGAAAAAATACGAGTGTTGTGTTTGTAAACCTTATTATAATGAAGAAGTGGAAACTTCTCATTGTTTTAAACAAACTGAGGAAGAGAGAGAGAAAGCATGAACACCGTCTGACTCTAGCACCTTAGTTACAGAGCCAGGGGAGATGAGACTCCTCTGGCGGTGGTGAAGGGTTTCTTCAGAGATTATTCGTAGTGAAAGCACAAATTACATGTCCTGGAGTAGTCTTTCCCCTTGTCTACAAGTTGTATCCAGTTATATCGATACGAACAACTAAAGTTGGAGGCCTGAAAGTCCATGCTGAATTCCTCCTTGAGATTGGAGCACTATTCATGAGCATGCAATATACACATGTTAAAAGAATTAACAAGTCATAAAAAGCAATGGGTAACTTCTGTAAGCAGTGTGTATTCCTTAGCTCTTATCCCACCAGATTTGACGTGGAAACTCGGCATGTGTTTGTTGGCGATCACTCCGGACAGGTGACCATCCTCAAGCTAGAGCAAGAGTCCTGCAGCCTCGTTACAACATTTAAGGGACACACAGGTGAGGCCTCAGGAGGAGATCCAAGCCAGTCTTCCTCACTGTGATCTGACTCTTCTGTGAAACCCTGGGGTGTGCAAGTGCATAGCTGGAAGAGGGGCAGACCAACTTAAGCTGCCAGCAAAACTCAGGGAAGCAAATCTATATTAGTAAAAGAGGGATCAGACTTCTGAGAAGTGCAGATAGCTCCACAATCTGCCCAATTCCACAAGCTGCTAGTTAAAGTAGAGTTAGGATGAGTATTGCAGTAACTCTGGCAGGAAAAGGGTGCTCCTCAGAGAAAGATCCGCACTGGAAAACCCTTTTGCCCAAGTGGGACCAAGGCACACGGTGGATGTGCACACTGGAGGAGCTAAATAAGTGCGTCTTTAGGTGCTGGAGCTTGTGCTCTACAGCACTTTAAAAACAGCAGCCATGGGATGGGAGTCTAGTATGTAACACCAGAATTCGTGGTCATTCCCCAGCATCTCCTCATATCCCTCCTTGGTGGTGTGTTTGTCTTCAGGGAACTTGCAGAGTACCCAATACCTCCCTTCCAAGTCTGTCCTAGCTCTGAGGAGATGGCTGTGCAGAACACTAGATATAGTTAATCCTCATGCTGTGATACCAGGAAGGGGCCCATAATATCCCTTGCTTGCTTCTCTTTTTTTCAGTAAAATTTTGCCTCCTGGGAATGGTGATGAAATGCTGTGTGGCTTTCCACCTACCTCCCTGTATTGTTTGTGGATTCATATAAGAACAGAGTATGGGATGTGTAGGCTTCTAGGTGGCTTGTTTTCGGTTGGCAAGCAGAGTGTGTTGGCTGCCTGACCCTTGCCAGATAGACCTACGTTATCATCACCCTCTCTTTATTTTTGTGGTATTTTTAATATATGTGTTGTTAGCTACATTCATCTCTTCCGCTTTCAGTGATGAAATGACCGTTCTGTGCATCTCCTGTTTCAGGTGGTGTCACTGCTCTCTGTTGGGACCCGGTACAGCGAGTTTTATTCTCGGGCAGTTCAGATCATTCCATTATAATGTGGGATATTGGAGGAAGAAAAGGAACAGCCATCGAGCTGCAAGGACATAAGTATGTTCAAAGCCTTTCCTCTTGTTTCCCTGGGAGAAAAGTTAAGGGCAGAAACCACATCTGGAAACAAACATCCCAGGGGTTACAGTGCCTTGTATTTGAATATATGACTCCCTATGGTCCATATATGAGGGGAATAAATTGTTTTTAGTAAGGTTTTTAGCGTGGGGCCCATAATTTGCAAATGGTAATGGAGAAAAACACAGCTCTTACCTATATCCTGAGTATACTGTGCAGGAATCCTTCTCCTCTTTGAGGGCTCCTCAAATGAGAAGAGCTGCAGAGGATTTCTTGCTTTTTAGGTGCCAAGTTCTTTCTTTCCCCTAGAGGGAGCATCAGGCTTGGCGAATCAGTCCCTTTTAACTCACTGCTAACCGTGTGTTTTAAGTATCACTGTGTTTACAAACTGAGATGTATCTAATGTGGATTATCCATCGGGTCTCACTCTCTCCTTAATGCACAGAGGCTTGCAAAATACAGACTTCACGTTTAGATAGTAAAGTAGATGTCTCTGAAGGAGGGTAAGCCTGTGCTGGACACTGAGGAGAGAGGTGGGATAGGTCTAGCTGCAATGAATTCCTAGAGTTTTAAACGCTGACAGTTTGGGTCAGTGTACTGAAAGGTGTATATACATGAAACTTGCTCCAGCATTAACATCTTCCTGTATGCACATACATTTTTGGGCAGGATGCTGTGCTCTGATGAATGATTTGTTTGGGTCACTTGCATTCAGGGTCCTGCAGAGCGCCTGCTGAAATTCCTTAACATGGATGCTAGCTAATGCACCACAACTGTATTTATTGCAGTGGAAAATAGTTCTTCTAAGATGCAATTAGCCCCCTGCATCCTATGTGTAGAGAGGCTTTTGGCTGCCACTGTGTCCATGCAGACCTGGCCCTAACCACATGGAAGCGTTTCCCTTAGTGGTGCTCCTGTCCTGCGGAAGCCAGCGCTGCCCAGGAAGGCTGGGTTAGACCCAGCTGCCCTGTAAGACACAGCTGTGTGGAGGAGCAGCCACATGCACGGACAAATGGATCCATAGGAAAGGCCTCTGGGTAGCTGAAGCCAGTCTTGGTGGCAAACAAAACTGATACCAAAAGGTGTGAGGAATTACCACTCCCTACATGCTGAGTTACCGTCCTCTTAGCATATCTTGTTGTATGGTGGTTGTTTCCCAAGTCATAAATATTTTGAGATGAGGTCTGGTTTTAGTTTTTTTATGATGGACCAACCTTAACTCTGGGGGCTTAAACTGAATTGTTTCTCCTACATTATTTTTTTTCCTTGAAAGAATGACAAAAAGCACCTAAAACTTCCACGTCACCTTGGGAAGACTTAAGAGCAATTTAGGGGTTTCTGTTTTACTTTTCAAATTCTCCTTGCATATTAGTGCTAAAAGGAAACCTTCAGCAGTTCTTCAGTGCTTGATTTCTGCATGTTGCAGATATTCACCAAAGCAATGTTGTTGCTAGCTTGTGTGAACATTTCAACATTTCTGAACACACAAATATTTCTTAGAGGCCCTAGATCTGTAGCTTTGTTCTGGCTTTCCAGCAGAGCTAGGGCCTCTTGTCTCCTGCCTCCTGACCTGCAGGAAAAACAGTTACTGCAACAGTGTTGGTTTTCGTGGCTATATTCATGGTATATTCTACACTTAACTTTTTTGGTTAGCTGTAAATGGTTAATTAGCAACTTTTCTTTTTTCAGTGATAAAGTGCAGTCTCTCTCTTATGCCCACCACACACGTCAGCTCATCTCTTGCGGTGCAGACGGTGGCATCGTTGTCTGGAACATGGATGTTGAGAGACAGGAGGTAGGTACGCAGGTCTTGCAGGTCTGTCTGAAACCATCTTGGGAAGAAGAGTTCATTCCAAAATGTGTAACTTTCAACTTGAACAGGATTGTTCCAGGCAGCAAAAATGTTTTCTGACGTGCTCTGCTTATTATAGAGTAATTATGCTGTGCCTTTAATAATACAGTACGGGGCTAATTATCTGACAAAATCTTTGTATTAAATCTGACAAAAAACTTTGTATTAAGTATGCTGTGAAACGGTTTCTATCCTTTCCATTGCTGTTCTGAAAGGTGAAAGGCATCCTTTTACAAGAATGCTGTGAGATGCTCTGCTTTGTTGGTTTTTTTAAGACAGCATGAGAAACATTATAGTTCAGAGACAAATGATGAATTGATTATTTTTTCACTAGTTTTCTTTTAAGAAAGCAGAACAAGAAAGCTCTTTGCCTTGTCTGGAAGCCTGCAATTTGATCCATTTTTTTCTCTGCTCTTGCTAAGAAGGCATTACGTCTTCAGTCTCATCTGATACTCAGTCTTGCTGCCCTCTGGTGTAACCACATGAAACGGCAGCAAACAGCGACTTTGCTGATCAACACAAAAAAGAAAAAGAAATTGGCCCACACAGTCATGTCCCGACTCCGAGAGGGGAGGATGCTCCAAGTGTTTGTGGAGTGCATCAGGCTTTAGCTGTTCTTTTGCATGTGGCAGAGCTCAGGAGGGAGAGTCCTGGCCAAGCCCCTGCGCTTCCCCAGCCGCGGAGCGCGGCGGCGCGCAGGGATCTGCCGCGTTCTGCAGGGACGGCAGCGCCAGGCGCCCGCGTGCCCTGCTTGGCAGGTAGGTCTGGGTTGTTCAGCCGGTGCTTCCCCTGTGGCTGGGAAGGACACAGCTGGGATGAAAACACCCTTCCTTTACCCTTTGCTTTTAACCTGTGATGCAGAACATGGCCATAATTGAGTGGCATTAGAGAAGAGCAAGGAGGGGTGAGGGTGGTGAATTTTTCCAGTTCCCTCGATGTTCTTGACAGCTCAGTGTTTAATCAGCTTTGCTGTTTCCCCAGAAGGGCTTTTGGTCTCCCCCGGTTGTGTGGGTGTCTCTCAAGCAAGGGCTCAGGAGACTTTCCTAAGTGGAAAATTGGATTTAAAAATCTGCTGGAATAGGCCTAGGCAGGAACTGAACTACTCATAGCCCCTTTTGCACATGAATAAGCGTTCAGTTGGCTCTCTTTAATTGCTAATCTAATGGCCAATTATGCCATCAGCTCCAGAAGGGAAACGAAAGCAGAGCGGCTTCCTCCCTCCCACCAGATGTTTCCTCCACGCTGCAACTCAGACATCCAGAAATGAAAGTCTTATTTATTTGCTGCCTTAGAAAGGCTACAGTAAGGGTTAAAATGGACTTGTTGTGAGAGGACTGCTTAAAAAGTGGAGGAGAAATGTAATTAGCTAAACAAGGGCTCAGCAGCAGGTGCTCACGGGTGTTCTGCTCCTCTGGCTGCAGCTCCCTGGGCTCCTCCTTGTTATCACTAGCGCAGTAGGGAGCCATTGGGCTAAATCGTTTCCCAAACCTGCATCTTTGGGATTTTAATACCAAGTCTTGCTTTGGGGTCCTAGAGCACTTCCTTCTGGATTTTGCCTGTCGTGTTTTTTGCCTGTTCATTTTTGCCACATGATGTTATCAGATTTTCCCACATTATTTTCGAATACATTAAGTCATTTTTCCCCTCAGTTTCTTATTATAAACTATTTTTAAAAAGCTGCAAGAAGCAAGCATCTGAAAGGTGCTAGAAGCCGCGTTTCCATTTTACTGCAAAGCAGTAGTAACTGCTCAGCAGTCACTAGCAAAACATCTTATTTATGTAAATACAGCGTTCAGACACTTCAGAGATGAAAAGCGTAGTCATGCAGATGTAAATCTGTAGGCATTAAATGAAAAGACAGCGGTGGGTAGGAAGGGCAGGGATTTACCCCACAGGATGACTGGTCTTTAAAGCCGCTGCCAGAAAAGCTGAAAGAAGCGGCCAGGACTCAGAGCAATCAGGGGAGTTGAGGCACCCGGTCAGGCTTCCCGTAGGCCTGTCTGGTTTCATAGTATTTTAAATCTTAATCTTAAGTGTGGCTCATACCTCTTGGGAAGCTGACAAGCCAAGTGCAGCCTCTTAGCAGTGCTTCCTCACAAACTATTGGATGGAATTTATTGCCTGCATAGGAAACATGCTTCCTCAAGCAAAACCTCTCCCCCTTGGCCACGACTTACATGTAAAATGGCAGGAGGAGACAGAAATGCCTTTAATGTTTCCTGTTTGTTGAATCTTCTCCATCCTCACCCCTTCATCTGCAGCATGGGCGCAAAGCTGCACATTGCATTAGGAATTGGGAGATTGCCTTACATCTTCTTTGTGTAACAGCAGGGAAAAGAACAGGCTTCTTCAGGAGACTCTCGTCCTGCTCAGCACTGCATGTGGTTTGTAGCAAACACCTCTGACAGCAGGAACTTTGGGAATATCTCTCACAATATTAAAAGGAAGAAAAAAGGCAGCAGTTCAGATACCACCCCCTCTTCTTCCAGGCAGATGATTAGCTCAGCTGTTGGAAATACAGATTGCATCCAGTTTCCACCAGAGGCAGTAAATGGTGTCCAGCCAGACACCCATTTTTAAACGCCCAGCTCCAGACTTGGAGAGCTGGTGGGAAGCTTGTTCAATCTTGGGTTATTCTTATCTTATAACCAAATTCTGCCTGATGTATAGGGTGAGAAGTGTTGCTCCTGTCATTTAAAGGTTCAAAGCCAAGCTAAAAAAAAAGGACATTTTAGGGAACAGTCAGAATGATTTGCTGTAAAAATAGAGATTTTTAATCAAGTTAACTTGACAAATTACTGCACCCAAAATGCCTTTCTTGTCCTGTCACTGGGCCCCAGTGGATGATTTTCTGCTTGTGGCTCATTCCCTCTTTGTGTATGTGTGTGTGTTGCAGACACCTGAATGGTTGGACAGCGACTCCTGTCAAAAATGTGACCAGCCTTTCTTCTGGAACTTCAAACAGATGTGGGACAGTAAGAAAATAGGCCTCAGGCAGGTTTGTATGGGTCCCTCGGGACATGAGCGTAGTGCAGTTAGGCTCCAGTCTCCACAGATCACAGTACTTTTTATTCCCCTAGAGGCACTTTGTGCACTTTGTGTTTCCACCGAGCGCTCGGTGCTTGGGCGGTGAGCTCCGATGAGCATCAGGCTTGTTTTGCTTTGCAGGGGGGTGCACTGACAGCCTTGCCCCTTACAGGCAGAAGACATTTTTGCAGCTGATCCTGATAGCAAATGCATAAAATAGATGTTGGGCTGAGTAAATCTGCTGCTTCTGGGCTGTGCTTGTGGGATTTTAGCTTATTGTCAGTTGAATCGGTTTGAGAGAGAAGTATACAGCTGATTTCTAGAGATAGTGTCAGAAGCAAAGCTACTTTCCGTGGGCTTGGGTAAACATCTGTAACCACTCAGACTGTGTTGGGAAAGGCTTATTGGTCTGCTTGGAACAGGCAGTTACATTTTCCTGCCCAGTGTTTTTCCTTTTCCACAATTTTACACTCCTTTCCTGAAAGGAAAAGGGTGTTCTTACGGAGCTCAGCATCGATGCTTTTCCTCCTCCCATCCAATTACACCCCATTTAGCACCGGTCACACTCGCACTCAGTGAAGGAGCCCTGACATGCAGCTGCATCCCCAGCACTCAGGAGGAGAGGAGATGATGATTTATGGCATGATGCACGTTTTGACCCTGGGGCGTAGGGGAGAGGTAGAGCCTCCTCGCCTGGACAGTGCTTCATCTGCCAGCTCCCAGTGCCCGTGTTAATGATCAGCTGCTGCCAGCCCCAGATAAAGAGGGAAAATTGACAGTACAATTTTTTTCCTCATTTACTCTAATGTTTTTGCCTTTGTTTTCCCTGGAAAAGTCATTTTTTTCCTGCTTGCTGCCACTTTGGCTTAGTCTTGTTGAAGCAAATGGGTAGAGTCACACAGAATCACAGAAGGGTTGAGGTTGGAAGGGATCTCTAGAGACGATCCAGTCCAACCCCCTGCTCAAGCAGGGACCCCTAGAGCACCCAGACACCTAGAGCCAGCCCGAGCTGAGCAGCGAGGGGCTCCGGGCTGGCGGGTGACGGCGTCTCCTTGTGCGTTGCCCCCGCAGCATCACTGCCGGAAGTGCGGGAAGGCCGTGTGTGGAAAATGCAGCTCCAAGCGCTCCTCCATCCCGCTCATGGGATTCGAGTTTGAGGTGCGGGTCTGCGATAGCTGTCACGAGTCCATAACAGATGAAGAGTAAGTGTGGGCACGGCGCGGGCTTGCCTTGCAGCGGGGCAAAATGCCTGGCAGATGCCAGGGGCTGGGTGGTGGCCAGGGGGCTGATGCCCAGGCGCTTTCTCCAAGGGATGCCTCCCCCATGCTCCCCAAACCCAGAGGGATAACCTTCCGTCCCTGCCTCCTGTCTTAGCAAACACGGCAGGGGAAAACCCTGGGCTCATGGCCTTTGCTGATGTGGGGTCCTTTTCTTCAGGCGGGCACCCACAGCAACTTTCCATGACAGCAAGCACAACATAGTGCACGTGCACTTTGATGCCACCAGGGGATGGCTCTTGACCTCGGGGACAGACAAGGTTATTAAGGTAGGAGCAAAGAGACTTCCCCAGCTCTTGAGTTGCATCTTCCTTCCCTCCCCATTGCGAGTCCGGATATGTCCCACCTGTTCTTTCACCTGTACAGACATCTCTCACCGATTGCCCCTTTCTGCCCAATAAGAGTCATCAATATTCCTTCTCCATGAAGGAAAATGGAAAATTGCTCAATTCTTCTAAAACTCATTGAGTTTCAAAGTCAGACTTTGGAAATTCCCTATCGGGAATGTTTTTTTATGTGAGTCCTGTGAAGTACTCAATAAAATCCTGCTAATTCCTCCTTCTGTCACAGCACACATTTTTAGGCGTGAGGAGAAGGGTTAGTTTCTATAGGAAGAATATAAAGAGGATGTGTATAATATAATGAATACACATTGAATAAGGTATTGGGGGTCAGAGCTTTCTGCCTTCGGCAGGGCAGCAGAGAAGCTCAGCTGCCTAGACAGAGGTCACTTTTGGAAAGCTCAGCTAAAATAGAGACTAGACCACCTACAAAAGGTCTTTTACTTACATGGTTGTCTGACTTGTGAATACGTGACTGAAAAATCATTTTAAGCCTTAGTCTATGAAGTTATTGCCTGAAATGGCTGGGAATAGACTGGGACTAGGCATTCGGTGCAGCATTCCCTGCACCTTTTCCTCAGGGAAGACAGACTCTGTTTCCGTATGGCTAATTCAGCTTATGTGGCTAGAGAAAGTGAAGTCCTTCCAGTGTCAAATCTCCCTCCACAGAAATGGCTAAAATTATGAATAGTTTTATAACAAAGCTCTGTTTTAACAATTAAAACCCCTCATGATGTGTTGTGACTAGGCTAATCATTCAAGTTAGCAATACACTGAGTTTTGGTTTCTCTTAAGGACCTGCTAACAGCTATGAACCTGGCTTGCAGTGTAAAGAATAATGACATGTAGAGTGTCCTTTGGTCAAACTCCACGGGTCTGACGTGAATGCTGAAAAATGAAATCAAACTTACTTGGAACAGATGCTTCCATTTTTGACCAAATTTCCTCCCCTAAGCAAAAATAAAAAGTGCAAATATATAGATACAGCATTATATGCCATGTTATATTTTATTATTTTTTACCGTCATTAATTGAGGTATCATCTTTTATTATATTAACAGTTGTGGGATATGACACCAGTAGTGTCTTGATGATGCATCAGTGGAACTTGCAAGGCAATATTTACAGAAGAAACAGATTCCTAACCCTAATCATACTGCAGATGATAGATAACGCTGGGCGCCCGCGGCAGATGAGGAAGGAACTAACGCGTTTACGACTTTATGTATGTCCTCTGCTTGACCAAGGCTGAACGTTTGCACGAAGACTCTTTCCACTTATTCTCAAAATATACAAGAAGGTATTTTTTTAAACTAATGGTTTGTACGACCTGACCATGCTTGGTTGTCTGGAGTTTGTTTGGAAAATCTGTGTGCGGTGCAATTTTTCGTTTTTATATTTCAGTATGTCCAAATACTTGCTGCTTTGTACAGAAGGGTCTGGGGTTGTGTCTTACCACGTACGGTCTCCGTATCCGCGTGCCGTGTAAGCAGTCGGATCTCTGTGACGTTTCAGCTGGCGACGTTCTCCCCAATAGGGAAGCTTGGGGCTGGGCATCGCACGTTCCCTGGCCGCGTCCCCGAGGATCACATGGACCGTGGTGCTTCCGACAAGGGCCCGAGCAGATGCCACCGGGAGAGGTTTTACTGCTGCGCCGTAGTTCAAAACGCAGCTTCCTGCCTCCTTCCTTGCTGCACGAGTTGCAAAACCAGGGGGCAGGTTGCCTGGCAACTAATTTCTGCAAAAGCTGAAATAGTTTTGCAGCTCTGAGCATCGCAAGGAGCACAGAGGTCTGTTTGACTTCGGCGAGGCTGACAGCCTCCTTCAAATCAAATTACTGAAACTGAGGCTCTTGGGAGAGTGTGCACAGAGAGGGGGGCATCTCAAACCAGTCTGGGTCTGAAAAGTCTGTTTTACCTCTACCTCTACCTTGTGCAGCAACATTTCAGCATTTATACCTGTCGCTGTTGTCGAAGATGATCTTGATTTTCCTATTTTCCATATAGTTAGTCATATTTATTTTTAAAATGCTGACGGTTTTTATTAATTTTCTCTACAGACCAGAAACTGATATTGCTGGATGACACCCACTGTCCTGTTGTCATATTTGGCAGTTTCTTTTAAAAATAAAGAGTATTTAAAAGCCTGGCTTGACCAAAATTACCTTTCAAAGGGGACATTATCAAGATGAATAGCAAAAACAATCCCTTTTTCAGAGGGATCTGAAAAGCCATCTCACAGTTCTTTTAATTCATTCCACTTTTAAACACATTGTTCTTGGTGCTCTAGGAAGAAACTGGCCCACAAAACAGGGTAGCAGAGCAGACCCAGGAGCTCCCATCCCCACTCTGTGCAAACCTGGTGCTCTGCATTGCTGCAATGCAGCAAGGCACTGGTGCTCCCGTTTGCCCTGTTTTGCACTTCCCTTTTTTCCTGCTAAACTGAGGAGGGGATTATTTTTTTTCACCATAAAACACACTGTTACATGGAGAAAAGTCACAGCTGGGGCTGAGTGGTAACTCTGGAGGGAAGCAAAGCTTCTCCTTTGCTTGCCTGGCAGCAAGTCCTGCTTGAGTAGGCGAAGGCGGGGGGAAGGCAACCATGGCATTAATTCTTGACTGATTAATTGCCACAGTAAAGGGTGGCAGTGTGTGTGTTAGGACTGCTGCATATTTTCAGGGAAACTTTTCTTTTTATTCATCCTAGGAAGTGAGCTTCAGCATTTTGCAGTCCTCTTGTCTGAACTCATGTCCCAGCGCCAGTTGGCCCCACCATAGGCAGCCTATTCCAGTGTGTATTTCCAAACATGATTTGCGTGGCACCCTTTTCCCAGTTTAAATGTTAGTTCTCTGTAAGTCCTGCTGCTTTCTCTCGCAGAAGCTGGATGCTTGTTCCCGTTGGACAGGTTTTCAGGCCACCTCATGCTCGTTTCCTGACCCCTGAAGAGCTCCTGGCTGCTGAAGCCGGGCAAGACGGGCCCGCGGCCTGACCAGGTGTCGTGCCGGCCGGAGCAGGTGTGCGCAGCTTTGCCCGGCTATGTCCACCTTACCTCTGGCTGGGGCCTTTTGGCCAAGGACAGGTTTGTTCTGCTGCCACAGAGGGTATCTCGCATGGGGGCACTGGCGTAGGTGTAAATCGCTGCTCAGCTCATGTTCCTGAGGAGATGGGGTGGTTGCAACAAGGCTGGATGCGGCGTGAATTGTGCTTTCCTTAATGGAGCCGCGAAACCGGCAGGCTGAGCATCTGCTGCAGGGTCAGCCCTTCTGGCCCTCATGGAAATTCAAATAAAAGTGAAGGGCCCAACTCTGAAGACAGATTTGGGAGCAAGGCGTGTTTGGATTATTTGGCAGTGAACTCCTGGAGCCCCTTCCCTTCCCAAGGAGTCGTGGTTTCCGTGTCGCAAAGGAAGTCATGGGTGGGTGCTGGATATTTGAATCCATTTTGCAAAATTTCCCTTTCTGTTTTGTTTCTGACTAAAGTACCCACCGGGATATCTGAATTTCACTTGAGTGTCCCAATGTCTTGGGCTGTCAGGATAGAGAGGCCTAGGCCTAGGTCTTGGCCTTGGAAGTCATATAAGCTGATGGGGGAGCTGGAAGAGGGCAGAAGGGAAGTGTGACCCCTTGCTATGATCTTAAGAGATATAATGTAGAGATAGGAGGGAAAACAGGCATGTGTGATACAGTATTTCCTTTAACCTCCTCAAAGAAACTGGAAGGATTTGGCATTGGGAGAGTTAAAATCCTCTCCCCTCCTATCCTGCTTTGTTAGTGTCCCAGTATTGGTTTCTTTTGTCTTCTTGATGAGCAGAAATGGGTCTCCCTGCTGCCCAGGCCTCTCCTTTCCTCATGAGTGGTGCTCTCAGCAGAGGGTCCCTCAGAGCAGGCGGTGCTGCGAGGTGCCCCAGGCCAGGCCCCGTTTCCATGGGGTTTCCATGATCCCTGTGCTGGAGGCTGGTGGCTCTAGGAAGGTGACGCCGGGAGGACACGCAACAAGCACTGCGTGGGATCCAGGAATGGTGTGGAACGAAAGTGGGATGGCTTGTTCCCTCAGCTTGCCTCTTGGAGAGGAATGTGCAAGTTTTTCTCTAGGGGAGTCCACCAAACATCTGCATCGACCGCGTGGCTTCAAAATTGCCTTTCCTTAAATCTGAAGTATTTGGGCTCTTGACAGTATTTGTGAATGTTACGTATGACTGTTCTCACTGTTTACAATAGGGCTTGGGTGAGAACAACTGAAATTTGGTTTTGTAGCACGTAGGAGACGGTTCTGCAGTGTGTGGCTTGGCATGCCGTGGTCCTTTCCAGGAGACCTCCTGGAGCAAATGGGATGTTTTCAATTAGGAGCTACAATTTTTGTTTCTACACATGACAACAGTACGCAACAACAACAACAGGATGGAGTAGTGTGCCAAGTCCCCCTCAGCACTGACCACAAGTGTAACACTGAGGGAAATTTCGGAGGGGACCTCTGTTACCTCGTTGTCACTTCACAAAATCTGATTTTTCTTGACTAGTCCAAAAGCTGTGATTTAGTTTTCCAAAGGCTGTAAGTGAATTTTGACTTTGTCCTTATTTGGTTAGCTCTTAAGCCCGCCATGCTAACCAACACATCTCTTAGGAACTTCACCACCCATCAGAATGTTTGATTTCACATGAAAAATATTTCCAGCTTTGGTTCTGGTCAGTGTTTTCTAGGGCTATTCCTCAGCAATTGGATCACTTTTCTTCTTTTATATTGTAACACTTTTCTCTCCCATTCCTTTATGTAAGTAGGTGTCTCCAATGTAACTGAATAAACTCTGCTAGTTCAACTCAACCGAATTCATTTCCACCAGCTTCTGTCCATTGCTTTTCCTCCTCTGTGTGTGTGTGTGTGTGTGTCTGTGTGTTGACTTGTATCACGGAGTTTGGAGTTTCACTGGACCCGTTCAGTTTGTTGGCATAAAACTGGCACCTACTCTCTGAGCAAATGGGCTCTTTCCTTTAAGACGATGAATTTTTACCTTCACGATGGTGATGAGCTCACAGAAGTGGGACGCTTGAGTGCTCTGCCCCATTCTCCGCATCCCCCCTTGCTGTCTGTGGATTGCCTTTCCCAGCTCCTGCCATGCCGAAGGGAAAATCACCACGAGGAAGCTTTCTAGCCAGCAAGGAAAACCTGAAGCTCCCTGAGGTTTGCGCTGCCGTGGGTTTTGCCGCTCTTCTCCTGCCCGTCTGGTTTGTATCTGTGAAGCGCCACTTCCAGCACTGGCATGGCTATGGTTTGAGTCGTTCCTCTTGATTCCTCGTGCCAGGGGGTGGAAGATCTGCCCTGCCGCAGCCCTTCGGTCCAGCTCACAATGTCTCTTTGGAAGGCTGTGCCACAGGGTCTGCCTTGCTAGAGGACAGGTTTTCTTCTCAAACATGCACCGTCTTTCCAAACAAGCCTCTGCCAGTTGCCACCAGAGAGAGGGACACAAGCGCTGACCTACTCCATAACCAGAGTTCCTGCCTTTGGACATTTTCAGAAATGTTGCTTATGTTATGCTGCCCCTCTTTAATGTTTCTTGCCATTTCAGTATTCCTGTCTTGCCCAGTGTCCAGATGAGGGCTATGAGGATTGTTGCTGGAATGCAGTTTTCAAGTCCTCTTATTTGCATTTCCAAACTGCAGCTGGGGACTATGTGTGACCAACCGCATCCCAGACTTCGTCTCCCAGCAAGACCTGAGACACTGAGGGACGCACAGGGAAACGTCTTGAGATGAGACGGGAGGAAGCTGAAGCTTCCCACTTCCATTCCAAATGTTAACAGCTCGGACTCCAGAACAGCTCTGACTCCAGATTACTGCAGTCCAGTGTCCCGAGAAGGGGAGGGTCTTTTACTTATTTTAGTGTGGAGTGTGAGCCTGTACCACGCACAAGGGACGGAAGGAGATCCTAGGCGAAAGGAAGCTAAAGGCTAAACTAGTTTATTGCTGCCTTTCTCCTCTGAAGTCATAGTAGACCCTTATTCTCTGAAATCATAGTAGCTCTGGCAGTAGCACTTGGTTCATGTTGCACTCACTGAATTAAACATTGCTCGATGAAAACTGGTACTCCTCTTACCTAAAGAATCTTTAAAGAGCTCTCAGTATCTGCAGTTTACACCAGAATGGTATTTATATTTAAAATGCTTTCTGATTTAATAGTAGGGTTTGGGTTTTTACGGGCTTGGAGTGGTGTTGTGGTCCATACGGGGTTACTTTTTCAGACCCGCCCCTGCTTGCTCTAGAGAGCAGTTCTACAAAAGCGAAAACACAAAATGCCATAGAGCCCGAGTGCTCAAAGCAAAACCACTGCCAACTGTCAGCACCATCGTCCACCACAGTTTTGTTCTTTAACAAAGAAGAAACATGGCCCAAAAATGAACCAGGAGAAGAGGAAATGCTGTTTACAGAGTCCTCTGGTGTCTGTTACGTGAGCCTTAAAACGTCACCAAGGGCTGAGAGGAGGCCCCAGTGGCCCCGGGTCTGTGCGCGGCTGCAGCCGGTCGCGCTGCGGCGGCCAAGGGGTGGCGCACCGGGACAGCGCGGGGGGCCGGGGAGCTGCCTGTGCAGAAGCCCCAGCGCCACTGCCCGAGGCGGCACCGAGGGGCGAAGAAACGCCACAGAGTCTTCCCAGTGTCAACAGTTAAACAACCGAAGTCAGAATCAGGCACGCCTGAAGGAAGAGCAGGGCTCCGAGCAGGAAGGGAAGCGAAGGGAGAACAGCCGCTGTGCTACTCTTCAGGTCCTGCAAAATGGGCAGATTTTTAAGTCTGTGTTAGTATTTCAGGTCCTATAAGACAGCTCTGTTTTCAAGTCCATAATGTGTATGGCTTAACAGGAATTGGCACCACCTCGTATGTCTGACCATCTCTCACTAGATGCCATTTTTCTCTTGCCCCTGAAAATTTCATACCCTAGGAGGCATGTGCACGGGAGACACTAAGTGTATTTGCTTACGTGCAGGTCCAATTTATTCTGAGCTGCATTAACATAAAACATTTTGCTCGCTTTATTGCTACATACCTCATTTGCTCTTATGGAAAATGTGTAGAATAGATCATCACTGGGAAGATTATACCAATAGTATGGGAGACCACAGATTTTGTTTCTAACTATATTTATTTTTTTATCACAAGTGCACTTACACCATAGTATAAAAATCTGGTTCTTTTTTTTTTTACACTGTGACCACACATAGTTTAAAGCGATTTTCATACTGTTGCCCTCATTTCCAACCTAAGCTGTGACTAAAAGAAAATTATGGGATATTTAAGTATATCAGTACAGAATGTGGACTAAAATAGATGTTAAAGTGCACTTTTGGTTATTTTTATGAACTGTTTAGACATATGCCATTCAACTTTTCTTCTATACCATAGAGCTGAGAAGTGATTTGAGTTAAAGCACTCAAGTATACAAACATTGTCTTAATTTGCTTTGAAGCTACTAGGCCGAGAAGCACTATTACTATATGTGCTTTCTGCCATGCTTTTTTTTTCAGGACTGTATTTAACAGTTTCAACAATGTAAAATGTTGTTAATATAAGGTTTTGGGGAAATAAATGTGTGTGAAAACCTTCCTGTCACTTCCCTTCATTGCAGTGTGAGGAGGAGTTAAGCTTCTAAAATGCAACAATAGTCTCTTCAGGAGGAAGCATGACAGCCTGAAGTGTTCCAGCAGCGCTTTTCATGGGAAAACTTATTCTTCTCTTAGAGGAAAGCCTGAAAGTATTTTAGGTACAGCTGACAACAGGCTGAAAAACAAAGTTTTTCTGAACTAACACTTAATAAGATCTCTTTCAGGTAACTAAAGTGGGTGAAGTAGATGTAATGATTTCTCCCCTGCCCATCAGCATGGCCTAAAGCTGTGTCACTGCAGAGAACTCCAGAGAGCATCTGTTTTATTTCTGTGTCTAATTCTTTGGTCCTGACACACCGATCTCCAGCCATGTGTTGGAGAAGAACATGGAGGAGAAGCAGGAGAAGAGGTGTCTTCACTGCTGTGTCACCACTACTGCTTGTAATAATCTTGGCTTCACAGTAATGAATATGCGAAACATGTAAGATAAGAAAGATGAACGTTAGTCTGAACCGGGTTGTCTTTAAAGCCCATTACAAGTGCTCAGGGGTTGTTTACAAACTAGATCCAGTTAAGACACAGTGGAAGAGGGATCAGTGTACATCCCACTGAGGTACAGCGGGAGCCCAGGAGAGCGGTTTGGATGTCCACAAGCCAGGTAACGAGAATCTCCTCTCCTCTCACTGGAAACAAACTGTTCCAGGCAAAGCAAAGCGCCCTCCTCGGGAGGTGGGTGCTGCGGCCTACGAAACCCGGCGCTCCTGGTGCTGCCTCGCTCCCCTTCCTCTGTGCTAACAAGCAATTCCGCTTGACCTCTGACAAAAAGCAAGCACAAAGGGCCCAGTCTGGTATTTCCTCTCACCCTGCAGCCTTTTCTCCCCTGCCTGAAGGGGGGAATCTGATCATGTCAGGGTGCGCTGGGTGTCGAGGTTCCCGCTTCAGAGGGGCTTGACGTAAAGGGGATAATGCTCAATCCTGGCTCCATGAAGTACCGTGGCAGCCATTTGGCAGCATTCCTGAATTACTGCTGTTTAAACATCAGGGAGCAGATCACTTGTGCATACCAGGGCTCAATTATAGAAACCTCAGGCTGTGAGAAATCCTTCCTTGTAAAGCCAGCGCTGCAGAAGGGAGCTACTGCATTCCTGAGCCCCCCAACCCCTCAAAGAAAGCAAAAATCCTGCCAAATACAGCATTTAGTAACAGTTTTTCTCTCCTGCATCATTCAGGAGAGCTCCTGAAGATTCACTTTCCAGGATTTCTCTGCACATCGCAGGTTTTAAAAGATTTTGGATAAATGCCTAATGCCTAATGTCATCATTTGGGTTTCATTTTAATGGCTCTGAATTTTTCTTCCAGTTCAAACTCACCATATTCTGAGATAGGCTGCGCGTAAGTTGCAAGGGAAGGGACTCTCAGCAGCAGAACAGTTTTGCAACCACCACTATCTCCCGCTACGAGCACACCTGAATGCAATTTATTTTTTAACAGGCCTATGGCATCCTACATCTCCTCTGCATGTGTAATTGCACTGTTCTCCCGCTGGGTAGTTAGAAGCTTTGTGGTTACGCTGTGCTAGCAGTGACACTAAGTTCCTGGAGAAGTGGATTTAAAGTTCTGGGAAATTCTTCCAGGATCTCTGTTAGCTTCTCCTCATCCTCTGGCGGACTGTGGGTTCTTGCTAGGGCTAAGTGTGCAGCAACTGCTTGTCTGTCTGCAAGGAAAAATAAAAGTCCATTTAACTGCTTCGTCTAGCACAAGGAGGATTTTTTCTACAGGGCTCTGTACTTCCCAAACACGCTTCATGGTCATGAAGCCAAAAGACTTATCTTCCATGTTTCTGTAAACAGTGTTCAGTACATCTTCCAAAAGAGAAATTAAACTGACTTCACTTGAATTATTGAGCTAGAGGGACTGCTCTTTTGTACAGTATGACTTAAAGAGGAGAGATCCCATTGCAGCCAGGCACAGGACAGATCATGGGGTTTAGGCCTGCTCTCTGTCACTACTGTAACTGTTGTAGATAAAGACCTGTAACTTGAGAATATTGGTGCAGGCAGAAGTTGCTTTTCCAGCATGAGACACGGTTTTTCCTTGCCTTGGAACAAGTCTTCTTGGGCTATTGGAATTCTGCAGCTGGGACTGTGCAGTCTGGACTGTTTTCATCCTTAAAATGCTCACTTTTTAAAATGGTGGAATTCTGAATGCTAAAGGGCTTCTGCTTCAACATCCAGTATCAAGATTTCTAACCAAGCTTGCTCAGTTTGATGCTTTGTTGGTTTCCTCCTCACTCCCTCTGTATAAATATAGTTTCTGTCAGTGCTCTATCACTGCCCATTCCAAGCTATCTTCCAATGAGAGATTTTTCTCTCCAAAAACATCACAGCTAGAGCCTATGAAAATGCCCTCAAGCTCCTATAAAGCAACTGTCAGGGCACTGCAGCAGCACCATTAGTCTATTTAGTAAGTCCAACTCCTGCAGTATCCAGCTGAGCCAAACGGAACGAGCTCTTCCACCGCAGGGCTGCAGATTCCTCAGGAAAATGAGCCCTCTGCTTCCAGGCTTCCCAGGGAAGCAGAAGTATTTGGTCTGTTAGGAGCAAATGTTGCAACTGGCTGCACGCCCCACATTACCTCTGCTTATGGAAAAGTGAGGAGAGAGACATGCAGAGGAACGTTCCCTCCTTCCCACTGCATAGGAGCTGCTTCCCACCTCAGGGAAAGGGCTGTTTCAAGCAGCCTGTGTGCAAATGTTTGGGAACGATGTGTGCAAGCCAAGCTCAGCATCACGGAGAAGGTGCTTCTAGTCTCTGGAAGGCAGGACTCTGTCAAACGAATTCTATTTATTTTGGCAGATGCAGCGAATTCTGGTTGTACGAGTCATGCTCTCACTTCCCCTTTCTTTTCTCAGGAAAAAAAATAATGCTGGCTCTGGTTGCCACTGAGAGGGAACGGAATAAATGGGAACAGAGGAAATGGAAGAAAGGTGCTACTGATCTAGGAAATGGCTGGGCTGTGCTGATCTAGGCCCAGGAGAATGGGGTCCGTGGTGAAGTGCTCCTGCACATGAAGCCCTTTGCTGAAAGCATCTACGGAGCAGGCAGTGCTGGCTGGCAGAGAGAGAAAGGACTGACTTACCTCTCCGTGACAAACACAGGGCACGAGATGCTCCTGCAGCCTGAAGGGCAGTTATGCCAAGCCCAGAGCTCTCTAGAAGCATTAGCTGCAGCTGAAGAGCCAAGGCTTGTTCCCTGTTTGCTAAAGCTGGGGTCGAGAAAGGCCAAAGGCAGGAGAGTTGCTGCAATTATCATCGAGAGGAATGGAAGCATGAGGACCAGAAGAAAAGCAAGTGACAGGAATATGAAAAAAGCACAGTCTGGTTCTGCAAAGAATGACCAGCTGGGATACGTAGTTGGTGCGTGTATCACATAGTGGCATTAAAGCGGGCAGGTTCAGGTATCTGTCAAGCAACCATGTTTGGGAAGGAAGAGAAAGGCCAAAGTTAACCCAAATATGGGAAGGTCCAAGCATCCCGACTAGACCTTCCAGCGAATGAGGCTGGGAGGAGGCTGTGAGAGCCAGCTCGAGCAGAAGGACGAGGCTCCTGCGAGCCCTTGCTCCGAGCCTGGCCTCTCTCTCGCTGCCCTGGCCCGCGTCAGGCATCGGACATTCGTGCCTACAGCTGCCCTTAATAAAACGCCTGGTGTCTGCACGGAAGAGGGAGAAGCCCTGACCTATTTTTCCACTTGCATTCCTCATGTAACAGTGCCTCTAAATGCCGCCGAGCTCAAGTCTGTGCACAGCTTTGGAGAAAGGAGGAGCTGGCAGTTGGGCACCCGCACAGGGAGGCAGGAGGAGCCTGTCAGAGCAAAGCCAACCTCCAGCGCTCTGTGAGGAGGACGGTCGCTTCCCAGCATCCCAAAAGCTGCTGTTTGACTGCCGTGATTCACCTTCCCTCCGGCACAGTCCTGCATAGAGCCATCTTCATAAAAAAACAACGTACTCCCTAGAAAAATGCTTTGAAGTCTCTATCACCTGATTTAGAGGACAAAAGCAGGAAAGTAACAGCCAAGTTAACGCAGTCTCTCTCTGGCTGCACAGTGCTTGCTTGAGCCTTTAGTCATGGAACAGCCTGGGGAAATGTTTTATCCTTTGAACTTCGCTTGGTGAGGCCGTCATCCCCTTCCAGGTCCCGTGTGTTCCCACATTCTCCACAGGACACTGCTGACTCGCCGTGGAAGAACAAGCAGCTCTGCAACTCGTCTCGGGGGGAGGCTCCCAACCCCACGGCAGCGTCGGCTCCCTGCGCCGCCGTGCGCAGCGAGCGCTTCACCTCCCCGCGGAAACCCGGCGCGGAAGCTCTCACAGCTGCGCAGAACAAGAGGAACGGGTGGCGTCGGGCCACTTACAGCTCGTGGAGTTCTGTTCTTTCTAAAAAAATAAAAAGGCTAAAAATTGTCATGGTGAGCGTGTGAAGAACAGAAGGCGTATTGTGGTGGGATGCAAGTAAACTGCCAGATGATCAACCAGATGTTTGTTTAGGTCAAATTATAGGGAGAAAACTACCAGAATGTCAGAATAGGAATCAATGAGAGATTTCCAATCCGATTCTATTATAAATTGCAAAGAAGTAAAACATGGAGTAAACAGAAATACAAAGAATCATGACAAATCTTTAACTCTTTTTTTTTTCTTACTAGTTTTAGGAAAATCAATTGCCGTATAATATTTCACAAGTATATCAAGAACAGTTCCTGAACCAACAACATAACTAATGCTTAAATATTGTCTTGTTTTTATTTCGTTGAACAGATGACGATGGAAGGTCCCTCACCTGCAGCTGTTTATTTTGGGGGCCATTGGAAAAACCTTGAACTGTAGGATGGGATAACTTCAAAGCTCATTCGGTTGGAAATACATGAAGGACTAGCAAGAGGGTGCAAAACTACCTTAATCACCAATTAGGAAAGAAATTGCTGCACCTGTTAAAGAAAGTTACCAGAAAATCTCAAATCTCTTTGCTTTTAGACTAATCCTGAAAAGAAAACAGAGTCTCAGGCAGATGGTACCTGGCACGTCTGCCCAGCCGGGGTGCAGGCAGGCAACTAGGAAATTTAATTTTAAAATTGTACTTGCTGTGCTATTTTACAAGAGCAAAAAGGTTCTTTTTAGCCTATACTCCTATTATAGAATCATAGAATCATAGAATGCTTAAGGTTGGAAGGGATCTCTAGAGGTCATCTAGTCCAACACCCCTGTACACGCAGGGTCACCTAGAGCACATGGCACAGGGTGGCATCCAGGCGGGTTTGGAAGATCTCCAGAGAAGGAGACTCCACAGCCTCTCTGGGCAGCCTGTTCCAGGGCTCTGTCACCCTCACTGTTTAATTTTTTTTCCTTAAGTTCCTGTGGAATTTTTGGTGCTTCAGTTCGTGGCCATTACCTCTAGTTCTGTCGGTGGCCACCACTGAAAAGAGACCAGCACCATCCTCTGCATTCCCTCTCTTGAGGTACTTCTTACATCACCTCCCTCGACCTCCTGGAGACACTCTTCTTAACGCACCCCAGGATCTCATTGGCCTTCTTGGCCACGAGGGCACACTGCTGCCTCATGGTCAACTTGTCGTCCACCATGACACCCAGGTCCTTCTCTGCAGAGCTGCTCTCCAGAAGGTCGGTCCCCAGCCTGTACTGGTGTGTGGGGTTATTCCTCCCCCAGGTGCAGAACCTTGCACTTGGCAAGATATTGCCAAAGTATTTGGCACTCTGTTGCAGGAGATAACTTGCCCTGAGGAAACAAAAAGAAATTTCCTAGGAATTATTTTCCTTTGCTTCTCAATGAAAGACTGAAAGCAGCGGGAAGGAAATTTGGCTCGGAGGAGGAGCCTCTCAGCATATTCGGGTCAGTACTGGGCCCGGTGCTGTTCAACTTGTTCATCAATGACTTGGACGAGGGCACAGAGTGCACCCTCAGCAAGTTTGCAGATGACAC